AAAGTTCATGTGCAGGCAGGGATAGAGTACAAACGCTCCCAAATGGCCACCCTAATGTCATCTGTGGGGTCCTGGTGTAGCACTGTGGGCTAATACGCTAGATAGCAAAGTAGGTTTGAACTACAAGGTTGGTGGTTCAAGCCCACCAGCCACTCCTCGGAAACCCTATACAGGATTTCTATGGATCAGACCCAATGGCACAACAACAACGTCAACTGTGGTTCTGTAGGCTAAGCACTGAACTATTAACTTCAAGGTAGGTTGTTCAAACCCAACAGCTGCTCTTCAGAAACCCTCTACTGGTTGCTATGAGTCAGAACCAACTCAATAGCACTTAAAAACAACAAGGTCAACTCAAACTTTACCTCCTATCCCTTCCCTCAGCTCCTACTATTTTATGCTTTAGTTATACATAGGCTAGGAAGGAGCAGACAGTCCCCTCCTCCCACGACACATACCAAAACTCTCTATTCTCTAGGAAGGGGCAAGCAGCCCTGCACCATATGGCTTTCCTACATTTTCCGTACTGCGCATGCTACCCTTAACTGCCCTGATGAATGTGAAGTCTGTATATCCCATGAAATAAAAAGATGCTATGGGGCCACACCTCTCACATGCAAAAATCTTGACTGTCCAGCCAGCTGTCCATGTCCTGGTTATTAAGTTTCTCTGTCAGCAAATCATCTCTTTTATTTTTTATGTAATAAACTAACGTCTCTTGGATTGGTTCCTGGCCATTTGTTTGGTCTCCGGGAAACAACATACACAGAAGGCTTTTCCCTTCTGGGCCTAAACCCCAACATCATGAAAGACCATGATCTCCAAGTCAGAAGCCATCTTTTCAATTCCTGGTCTAACATAAGTACCCATATCACCTCCATCTGTCCATGTCTTGTTGTTGTTGTCAGGTGCCACCGAGTCGGAACCGACTCATAGCGACCCCCATGCACAGCAGAACGAAACAGTGTTTGATCCTGGGCCGACCTCACTACCGCTGCCACATTTGAGTCCATCAATGATGCCACCTGGCCAATCCATCTC